TTAAACAGCAACAAGAAGGAAGTTATTGAATACTGTGGTACATTTATTTTGACCTTCTAAATATATGCATTCATATTTTTGCTTAGGGCATTACATTTTGATATGTATGCAAAGCTCATAGACTCATAATTTTTCATTGTTACATAATAGTTTATTTTGTTAATATACAAACAAGTGAATTGCAATAGACTCACAGATGCTACCAACCTACCAAACATTTATGCCATTTTCGTTCTGTATTTTTTGCTATTATCTCTTGCTGTTAATATATAAAATAAATTACAAAAACAATTTAAAAGAGATATTGTTATTTTATTAAAGTACATTCTTCAAGATGGAAATACTTTGTCAAAATGTCAATACTATGTCAAAATGTATTACAAAATGTGATTTTGTGAATTTTGAAGATATTGTTCTACCACTTCCAAGTAAATTCAGAGTTACAATGTATATTTTTCTACTACAACTATTTTAGCAGAAGATATTTTGCCACATTAATAGATCTATCAGTATGATGATTCATTGCATGAACAAAACTCATTCAGTGTAATTACAAATAACATTTCCCTCCTTTGGCCTCTAAAATATATTCTGCAAAACTGGTCCTTCCCTTGTTTCTCTGGTACAGACAGAGTAAACTTCATCACTACTCTGATCATTATTAGGTAATATAAATATTGTCAATACAACAACTAAGTTCCTACTCTGATTTTAAAGTAATTTTTATCTCTGCTCTCCCCTGGACTCAGAAAGCGGACAGTGTGAACAACTCCCTGTAACATACCGATCTTTTGTTAACCTTCCAACTTCTTGCATTGAAACACAGCAAGAGAAAAACTAGGTAAGGGAGTAGAATCATTCTGAGTAGGCCAATGTCTTCGCAGTGGTCCATTTTACTCTGAATCTTTCCTTTGTAGGTGTCTTCTTGGTTTCCTCAGGGATCCCCTGTGATTATATGCCTCTGAGAAGATTCATATCCTTTTGTGGTAGTGTAGGATGCTCTATAAATACTCAGTAAGTCCATTTTTTTATATGTTTCCACTCTATTCTTTCTTTGCCAATGTTTTTGTCTATTTGTGAAAATGGGATATTGAAGTTTCCCACTATGGTTTTGTTGGTGCTTATTAGATCTTGTATGTCCAGTGAAGTTTGCTTTATGAAGGCGGTCACACCAGTACTCAAATTTCAGTATGTAGTGACCTTCTTAGCTTCTTCTGATCAGTTTTAGCTAAGTCCACTTTGTCTAAGAATAAAATTGCTAATCCTGCTTGTTTTCAGGGTTATGGTACATTAAATATTGTTACTTTTTCTTTGCTTTATTTTTTGTCTATGCATTTCTTTTGGGATTAGTTTTGCCTTTTGATACAGACTGCCAAATTGTCTTTTAACTGAGGAGTTGAGCCCAATTACATTGAAAGTTATTGAAAGACATTGACTTATTCCTGTCATTGCATTATTTGTCACTGTTTCTTTTACTTTTCTCTTTTGTTTAACTGCATACTCTGAATGATGTATTCGTTTCTTCTGTCCTCTGGTATTTTTGGCTTCATTATCTCTGTCTAGCATATCTTTGATAAATTTGGGGTGGTCATCAATTTCTTTGTCATGGGGTGTCTGTATTTGTCCATTAGTTTTGAAAGGTAACTTTACAGTATATATTTCTCTGAGCTGAGAGTTGTTACAAGTACCACCTTTTGTGATCAGTAGGGAGATCACAGTGGTTGTGAGTCTGTTCTATAAGGCAGTCTGCCCCTGAAGAGTCAACTGCCTCCTTCATCCAGACTCTCTCCCAATATGGTGTGTTCACTGGGCTTGGGCTGCAGAGGTTGGGCTACCATGATCCAGTGTGATTTGGTTTCCCCTCATCTCTATCCCCAGAAGCTGGATTTTGCTCCAGCAAATTTTTCTTTTCTTTGTCCCTCCTGCATCAAACTCTCCATCACTCTTAACTCAAGGGACCTGCTTTTCTCCAATATTTATTTGGAGACTCACCCTTAATGTCACCCCCTATGTGTCCATAGTGGAACTGCCAACACTTATACTTTTTATCAAGAGGTTTTTATCCCTCCAAGAAGTTACTTACAACATGACCAAAGATAACTGACATCAGCAATGTTCTTTTTTACATGTCCTTTATGGAACCCTCAAGAAATTCTTTTATTTTCTATAGCCCCTCAGTATAGGAACGCTTTTTATCATCAGCTTTACAATCTCTCCTTAATGCACTTTCATGGCAGGACTAGGGCCATCTATTCTTAGGTTTCTCCAGTAAGAGTCAGATGTCTCAAATATTCAAAAAACACTTCCAAACTCTGTAAAAACCTTCTAAGGCTCTTAACTCAAAGTGAAGGCGAGAAACTTGCCCGGTCATTCCTCCTGAGGAGAAGGGGTTTTGGCACCTTACACTTCTCTTCTCTGCACTCTATCCCTTTAATAACCAGCTCCTCATATTTTTATAGTATACTTCCACAAAGTCACATTTCAGAGTTCTAGGCCTAAGTCATACATGGATTTTTCCTTAGTACTGAACTTGTTTGTGGAAACTCCTACAATTTTGTGGAAACCTCACACATCCTCCAGGATTGTGTTTTTGGCAAGAAATTTGCAAGGAACCAATCTGAATGCCTTATTCAGTTCTCCTTCTGCTGATTGGCTTCTGCCTTATGGTAGATGTATCAGTATCATAACAGGTTGCTGTACTGGATGTAGCTATCCAAGTGTTCCCTAGGTTTTGTTTTTCTTAAAGACCTAAGATCCCTAAGATGCTGCCAAAATGCCCTGCACCTTCTAAGGCTTAATTAATACAGTGTGTGATTAAATTCGATTACATAACTGCAGGAGACATAGCATATTTAGGTTTTCAACTATAAAATAGGCATTTATAGGTATTTTTCTGACCATATCTGAAATTAGTGGTTTTTCACAAGTCACGGGTGCTCCAGACACAAAACCCCTGTGAATTTTGTGTATCCACTGTATACCTATGAAACCAACAAAAGCTTTAGAATTGCACAATCCTTCGACATTTTCCTTGTAAATTCAGGACCCAGTCTCGAATGCCAATGAGGAACGTAGTCTTCACTGATACCAAGTATCAGCCCAATCATCCATTTTATTACACCATTATCTCAGCTAAGACTCTTGCTAAGTGATGTAAACCTAATCAAAACTGGCTTCAGTAAAATGTGATAGATTAACTCGCATTCCTGAGAAAGGGCGTTTGCCTAGGCACTAGATGCAGAGGCCACAGAGACAGAAGCTTATTCTGATTCCTTCTCCTCCCTCTTTCTTTTTACTAAGTTGTTCTTCCTGTGTGACTCTATGTCCAGAGAGGAGACGCCCTCACTGTGCAGCCGGCCAGGCTGGCTCTCCATCTCACCATCTCAGACAGTCCACATTAACTTGCAGTGTTTAAATTAGGAACCACAAGCGGCTGGGGATTTAGCTCAGCAGCACAGCACCTGCCTGGCAAGCACAAGATCGTGAGTTCGATTCCTGGTACTGGAAAAAAAACCCCAAAAAATAAAAAAGTAAATTAGGAACCACAAATGTCTGCATCTCATACCTGGTCAGACTGTGCAGTCTCTCGTTGTCTTCTTTCTGTTGCTGAAAATACCCATGGAAATGCAGTGATATCGCCACCAGTATTGCTGGTGGTGATGCCACTGCACACATATTTTACACCACTCTCATGCTATGCCGGACCACCCAGCCAATTGTATTCTATTCTGTGGTTACATGTTTGACCTTTTAAATGTAGCTTTAAGAAGAAGTTATCATGAATTGCTTATATGAGTTAACACTTATTAGTGAACATAAATATAATAGTAAAAAAGAAATAATCATAAATCAGTGTTAAAAATTCTTTCCTTGTAAATGGGTTATTTTCTGTTGTACACAAGTAGTATATTACCTTACAGGTAAAACTGTGAAACAATAATTATGCTTATAGCTTTCTTTCTTCTTCTGTGTTAATTATGGCTTAATCTTAAAAAGCACAAGCTTTATATAAATTTCAATATAGATGTGTACATGTTTAAGAGATAAATTAGGATTAGTTCTGAAAATCTACTTGTTACCCTCACAAAATCAGATAGTATATATAATTATATCTCAGTGACAGTTTGGCTATTTGGGATAATATTCCTCTTTCTTTCTTTCTTTCTTTCTTTCTTTCTTTCTTTCTTTCTTTCTTTCTTTCTTTCTTTCTGTACCATAAATTGAACTCATGACCTTGCACTTTCCACACAGGCACTGTGCCACTGAGCTATATCCCCGGCCCCTCACCTCCCTTTCAAAATGCATTTGCATGCTTCCTTCTTATGGATTAATCTACATTTACTATCTATGCAGGAAAAAAATCCAGGAGCTTTAGTCTGATGGAAAGAGTTTTGGTAGCTCCTCAGAAGTTACAAAAATGAATGAAAGCCCTTGGTCTAAATGAATCACTGTTAATCAGAGGACTAGACAATTGTCATACTACAAAATAGGTAAAATGCTCTGAAGCTGTAGAGGACATGAAGTCTAGAAGCTGACTGTGATTCTGCCATTCCTAGCACACATTTCAGCCAAGCAGACCCAAAGGCATAAACACATCAGCATAGCTTAAACATAATAATAATTCTGTGCATGATGATGGGTAGAGTATTTGATTTTTATTTGCATGATATTTGGCTTTTAGGAGTTTCATGGGAGATATTTGCTACATTTGATGGAATAAAGGTTTAGAATAAAACAGAAGGCTTTCCTCCTTCACTATAGATTGATATCATTAAAATGCCCCACTCAGCTCTCTGTTCCTTGGCTGTTCATGTTCTTTTTCTACAGTATCACTCAATTTTTTCCTATTATTTTCTCCTTCATTCATACCTCTGCTGAAATGGATACCAAAAATACCCAGTACTGACTAGCAAAATTTTCTAACCAAGTCACCACCCTCTCCCACCCCAGTACCCAATTTTAAGAAATTTAACCTGAGTCATGCACAGAGCTATTTTGTCTTCACAAGATAGATTTCTTTATTAATTTTTTTATTTAATTATTTTAAAAATACAAAGAGAATAAAGGTCATTTCTTCCCACAAATACCAAATTTAAATTTAGCAAGTCTACATAGAGAAGTACAGAGGAAGTATCAGGAAAAGTTCAAAGAAATTAAAGCAATTTGTAATTTAATTACCCTAGAAATTCTGTAGCTTTGTTTGACAGTGTGTAGTCTGCTAATCTCTTTGCTGGTTTTGACTTGTAAATTACTGTAGAGACAAGATTAGTCTCTTGTCCTCAACTTAACATTTTATGTTTATTGAAAAAAGTACAATTAAAATTACCTTTGTACTTAGATCATTTATTGGATTAAATTAATCTAATAATTTATTTTCAAGCTACTTTTTGAAAACATTCTAATGGAAATGTTCTCTTCTCACTTTGAGTCTTTATTTTAAATAGGAATTTGATACAAAAATGTTCCCTGAATATACAACTATGGTAAGATTTAGAGTTTTTAATTTTCTTAGGATTAAATTTCTTTCTAGACCCAAATATATACATGTAATTATTTAATTATCACACAACAATGGAAAGCATATGGGAAATACAATATCACATGAATTTCTTTTTTGTAACAATATATATATCTATATTAAATGTCTTTACAAATGAGTAACAGTTGTAATGAGTTAGTCTCTAATATCTGGAAACTTCATTTGTATCATTTAAAACAGTTTCTAAAGTTTTATCAGTATGAGAAAGTAGAGTAGGTCTGGATGCACTAAAGAATTTAATTAAAAACACAAAATGACCTACTAAGATATCCTCCTGTATGTAGTTTGTACATGTTGGTGCCCTTCAAGTTGTTAAAGTTCTTTTGTAAGTTATTAATCCTTTTTCTTATTCAGGATACTCTGCCCACTTATGTAAATAACTTTTTCAGTGGAACTGCCAAATGTATTATTTTACATGGGCCAATTGTATATAGTCAATGTCTCACCTTTTAAATGCAACTTTTGTGTTGGTTGATGCACTAAGCAATGAATGTAGGTACCATTCTATGCTATTTTATTTACGGCATTTTCAATCACAAGTTTTATCAGTAGAAACGAAATGTCACCATCTCTAGGGTAATACAATATCGTGCCTGTTGAACCATAAGGAAAATGAATTCTTTTAATAAATGTCCCTCTAACTTATTTAAAATCATAAAGGAGAACTTAAAAAAATAGAATAAGAAGAGAATTTAGATTGCATGGAGATGTCATAAGCCCTACATTTTACAGCACCATTACTAAAATACAATAGAATAGAATAAAACAGATGGATTCAACTGAAATTTTGAGTCAAAATTTCTAATCAACAATTGAAAACTTATGCTAACAAAATGACAAGCAAGTGAGGAAATGCATGTTCTTTATCTTGAAGCATTACTGATCAGAGATATTTTTCCATGGTTGAGTCTTTGGAACTCACTATAGTGAAATTTGTTTCCTGGAGTAGCACAACTTAGGCAGGTACAAAATTTATTGAAGTATCCAATTCAAAAGTTCATTTTTTTGACTGACTAACGACTTGGGTCTTTGTTGAGTTCTTGAACAATTTTTCTTGATGAGCGTGTTCTTACTGATTCTCATTCTCTTCTGTAAAGCCATGTTTATCTTCTTCTGTAAAGTCGTGTTTATGTTCTTCTGTAAAGTCGTGTTTATGTTCTTCTGTAAAGTCATGTTTATGTTCTTCTGTAAAGGCGTGTTTATGTTCTTCTGTAAAGCCTTCTAGGAGAAACGATAGAAAAATAGTATAAGACATATTCAAACATGACAAGATATTATTACACAAAATAACTTTCAGGACTTTTTTTAGTCTTTACCTACTAACAAATGAAACTACTAATACAACTAATAAATGAAAGGTATCTAGCTACGTATACGCTCTACTGGACATGTTTCTTTAATGAAGAAAGACACAGAAAAAGTTTAGAAAATTTATCCTAGAAGCCTTAGATAGATAGAAAACAAGTTGCTCTGCTCCCACTTTGAGATGAAAACTGACAGCACATATTGGGAGTAAATAAGTGAGTTGAATTACGTACGTATGTTTGAGGCAATATCCAAAGTTTGTAAAATATCTTTTAGGAATAATTTTTTAAAAGAAGTCTGCACAGAAACTTACAGCTGAATTCTCCATTCTAGCATGTAAAAGAAGACACTGAGCTGGTCTCTTACATTACAACCCACACCTTCACCTTCTTGGTGGAAAATTGCATGGATGTTATGTGTGGATTAGATTGAAGTTTATCTCCCAGTAAGTGCAAGGCAGCAATGAGAAGAGCCTTGTGCTTAAGGAAGTGAGGCATTTTCCAATCTTCTGCTATTTGGATACCAAGGGAACTGTGCATTCCAAACTTCCTTGTGAGGAATGGACTAGTGTGGTCACATGTAGCTGCCACAGTGGACAGTTGACATAGACTCACTTATTTTCACTTTCCACCAAGCATAAAAAGCCATGTTCAAGTTCAAAGAGGTTAGAAACATCTATCCCTGAATTATTTCTTAATGTCTCAAATTCCTATTTTTTTCACACTGATTCACTGCTTTATTTTTTTTATTCAAATTCCTACTGAGATGACACAGTAACCCAAGCCTCATATGAACTGTCTTGTAGATTACTTTAGAGCAATATCATTTAATGGATTAAAGCACCTTCCATTATTGTGTTTTCTGACATCTCTCATAAGATGAAGTGAGGCTCCACAACTCCTTTCACTAACTTACTAAGATAGTCTTAATAATTTCATTTGCATAATATGTGAAAATTAAATGAACCTGAAGTTTTTATTCACCTGATTTTCCACTGCCTTTACAAATACTATATCTGAGACATCAACAGAGAATTGGATCATTAATTTGATGGATGCCTAAAGGCATGGGACTTCTGGGTAACCACATTCTGCCTTCTTCTGGGTAACCACATGCTGCCCTTCTGATACCACTGCCTGCCCTGGGTAACATCTCTCTGTTCTTTATGACTCATCATGTGACTCCATCTCCAAATCATTTGCAACCTGTACTGTAACCTCCATTACCTTAGAATTGTTCACAGCAGTGACCATTCCAGTTTCCTCTGGAGTGGTCTTCTAGCCTGTCATCTTCTAAAGGAGAGAGACTCAGACTGGTACTTATACTGTGAGTGTGATGCCCACAGCATGCATTTAATACATGTTTGCTGCACTTCACTGAATTAAATTTCCAAAGATATTTTAATCCACTGCAGTGTCCTAACTGCTGTATACTTTTACGATCTCATCCATAGAAATGTGCAAGACTATGTGAAAAGCATGTCATAAAGAAAATGCTATGCATTCAATTTGTCACTAGAATAAGTAGCTGAAAATGTGTAGAAATTTAGGTAATAAAAAATTAGAGTTTGAGTGTCAATTTTAAAAACTGCATCAAAACATTTTATTGCAAAACAATGCAGACTATAGATAAAATGAAAACTTTACAGATACTTATAGCTGCAAGTCTGATTACACAGCAACCTCAGTGAATTAAGTGGCTCTGGTAGATGATTGAAATGTTTTGTTTTCAGCACCTGCAGATTGGGTTTTATTAATCCCTTTTGCTGAGAGTTATGGCCACACCATTCACTCTGAGTAGCAGGAACTCCCTAGGACTGAGGGATTAGGTTAGAGTCATTGTGAAATTTCAAGAACTGACAAGACAGTCTGATGAACGAGATCCTGCACATGACATTGGGAGCTGTGGTGGATCTTTTAAGCTTTGTTTTTACGATGCCAAACTCTAGAAAACTAAGCAAGTTCTTTGATGCTAGACGTCTGACCCAGCATTACAACTGGAATCTGGATGTTTCCAGAACCTAAGATCTGTCGTGATAATTAGCAGTTATGGGAAAAATTTCAATTAGTTTTGTAGAAAGCAAAATCAGAACCATTTTATTTGAGCATTCACACTGATCCTAGAAACTTGCCCTTGGTGGACATTTCCTAAAAAAAAACTGTTACTTGAGGTTATACTTCAGGCCAAGTTTACTAGGAATTATGCATTCTCAGTGAGATTTTCCTAGAACTATTATGGATGCAATAAATTTGATAGGTTAAGTATTTAGAGTCAGCAGTCGCTATTGAGGTTTTAGGAATTGTTCTCATGCTGATATGGAGGCTCCTATTATCATTACAGTGTACATTTACAATTAATATTGGAATATAAATACTTGGATTTTTTTTCCTCAAAATATCAACATCTCCTACTTTTTTAAGGTTAGGAATATTTTCTCTTTTAATATTCTTATAGTAGTAGCACTGATGAATTAGGATATAAATAAAGACAGATTGGTTATCCTTTGCTCAACCCAGACAAAAGGATCTCGTAATTCATTTCCTTTCAAAAAGGCAAAAGGCAATGCACATATTCATACCCACCTGTGTATTCTACTTCCACAGTACTTAAATGTTCGCCTGTGTCTTCCAAGGGAGGTGGCTTGGTAACTGGAGATGTCTGTGCATAAAGATCAGAAAGGTATTAGCACCAGAATTTTTGAACTAAAGGCACTAAAAATCAAAGGACCGCAATTAAAAATATTTTTCAAATGTTTTTGAATGAAAATCACTTTGTAAACTCGTTTGGGAATAAATCTCTCTTTCATAGATATTAATAAACATTAATTTAAACCTTTATTTGTATTTCTAACTAGTGTTTGGGGTTCAGTACGTACAATATGACCTCATATGTGAACTCTTCCATATTTCACAGCTCTAATTAATAGTGAAAATTCATGAATATGAAAATACACAAATGAAATGCTGGGAATTTTTCCAACTAAATATTTCATTGATTTTTTTTTCAGATTTAGAATATTGATCTAGAGAGAAGACCATTCAATTTGCTGTATATTCTCAAACAGAAGATGATTTTTTTCCAATATATGTACTTCAGACTAGAGAAGTAAATTTGTATTCAAGCCTTACACAGTCTTTCATATAATACCAGCACTCACAAGTTAATAAACTATTTATTAATCTGTAGCAAAAGTTGTCATTTTCTTAGTGTTAGGAAAGATGCATTTATATGGGATAATGACAACCATAAAAGTGAATAATTATAGGAGTCACTTTATAGACATTGTTAACAAAGAAAGCAGACAAAGAAACTTAACAGATTTCCTATCATTCTTGTGCCTTCATCACTGCAGTGTGGCTCCCCCCTATATAAGCTCGTTAAAGGGACTGTAGTGATTATGGTCTAGAGATCACAGAGATTAAGAAGAAAAAATAAATGAAAATCCTACTGTACCAATCTTTCGTGACTAGGTCCTTCAGATGTAGGATACAGATCCAGTGACAGTATCTTAATGTCATCTCTGATGTTGTATCCCAAACATCTTAGAAAGTTATATGCTCTGGAAATATGTGTCATATCGGCTTAAAAATAGCTTAATTGATTTTTTAAAAATCTCATGCTGAGAATCCATGGAGAGACCTTGAATTATTTGTTTTAGAAAATGTAACAGTGGGAAAAAAGACAAAATTTTAAAGATGTCTGAACATATAATTTTACTTCAAAGATTTTGCACATAAATACTATAAGCAGAAATTTGTTTCATCTGTATCTGTTATGGTTTGTGTCTAGATGTCCCCCCAAAACCTCACGCAGTTATGGGGTTGGCTTCTAGAGTTTATGATTGATCCATGGTCCCATGCTGGGCTTATGGGTGTGAGTGCTACACTAGACTTGGGACGGGTAGTTTGGGTACAATGTAAGGGAGGGAAAGAGGCTTGCTTGCTGCTCCTCCATTTTGCTCTTGCTGCTTTTGCTGTCTTCAGCCATGAACAGGTGCCCTCTGCCACGTGCCACTCTGCCTTGGAGCCAGCTGAGTATGGACTGAAACCTCTACAAACTGTGAACTAAATAAATCTTTCCTTCCTTAATTTTGGGCATTGGGTATTTTGTCTCAGCAACAAGACAGTATCCATCAAAATATACTAAATCATATTAGACAAAAACTTTGGGGAAAATCTTTAATTGGGGAAATGGAAGACAGATTCATATTGGAGGCTTATCAGAAGTATTTAAATGTAAAACATAGTCTGCTAAAGCACCTCAATCCAATTGTGTCCAGTTGAAAATCAGGGAACTTTAAACAATTTTCATTTTTTTGGTTTTAATTTCACTCAAAAAACCAGACTCATCTAACATTGCTCACATCAAAATTTAAAGCAAAACTAAAAATTGAATTCTCACCCTTGTCAGTAGCCGGATACAGACAGCAAAAGAGAGGATAATTCCAACAATAGCAGCTATCACCCCCAAGACAATAGCTATTATCACTGTGAGAAAAAAAAAGCAGAAAAATTATATAAGCATGAAATGAACTACCACATATTACTTGAAAAATTAAACAGGCAAAATAAGGATAATATCACCTTGCCTGCTTACAGAAAGCATATTAATACTGCAAAATTATCTGCATATTTTATCTTTTTCCAAATATGGGGTCTTCACAGTAAACCTGGGGGCATTTGGAACTTTGAGTAACAAAATATTTTCTCTTGAATCACATAGTGAATTAATGACAGAACAAATACCCCAGAGTTTTGACTCCAAATCCAGTGTTCTTTATAGTTACAATTATAGATAAAAGCCATGTGGTTATTCCACCTGGACAGGAGAAAATGTCACAAAGTCTTTCATAGTTTGAACATTAGGAAAGAAAATCACTTTTAATATATCTAAGGATACCAAACGGATTACAAAATCATTAAGCTTGGAAAAAAACTGGCATAAACAACATTCAAATGAGTAAGCAAAGTCTTATAAAGCTAAGTCAAACAATTATTTAAGTAGAATTATAATTATGATCCAATTCTCCTATATTCTAAGCTTGTGTTTCTTCCAGAGCACATGCATGCACAATCACTAACATAGTGATTAAAAATATTTTTGAAGGGCTGGGGATTTAGCTCAGCGGCAAAGCGCCTGCCTGGCAAGCGCAAGGTCATGAGTTCGGTTCCCGGTAATGGAGAAAAGCCAAAAAAAAAGAAAAAAATATATATTTTTGAAATCTTTTATATGTTTTAAATGAAGCACCTTGCATTAGTTAAACTAGAGGAACTCCCCATATCTGCAATATATTTATAGTGCTGTCCAGTGATATAAGTGGGCCTGAAGGCTATGCATACAGCTGAAATTGTACATTTATTTGGCTAATGTATGTGTAAAAGCCATATTTTTTAATTTAAAGAGCCAAAGTATCTCTTTTATAAGTAGCTTTTCCTCCTGTGAATGTTGTCTAGCCCCCTTGTCCACTTGGCTTTAGTCTGGAGATAGTAAGTTGGTGTATGACCCTATCATCTATTTTTTTCCTGTGTGCAATGTGGACATGGCCAAGAGCAAGTAGAGAGTTCAAAATACAGAACAGAAGACACCCACAATATGAAAAACAAAATGCAGAACGGTGAGAACATAAATGAATTAAAACCAGATCTATGGCAATACTAAAGGAGGGGGATGACACCAGTGATGTCAAGCATGAATCAGGATGGAAGTAATCTGTATTTATTGCTAATATCATTTCAACTAAATAATTTGTAAGCTTCCTGTTTTCTTTACATTAGAGAGAAGGGAAGTTCAGTTGCTTTATACACTAAGAAACTTCTCTCAGCTACCCAGGGTTGATTACAAAGCCAGGAAAAGGCAAGTTAAAAGAAAAATTATTAAATGTTTTGCTACTATTTCCAAAGTGCTTTAAAAAATTTAAAATGGCTTCTTGTAAAGTTAGAGAGAGAACATTTTATTTGCCTTGTACAATTTTGTGTGAGCAAAGTTAATGGCATATGCTTTTCTGTTTTAAAATAGGCACTTCTTATTTCTTAGACATTTCAAACTGATAACATATAATCGAAGATGGAATGATTATGATTTCACAACAAATATTTACATACCTGGTTCTGAGAATATGTGAACAAGTTGAGATCTTGGTGCTAAAAGTAGACAAAATTTGAAATTAAATCAGAATAAATTGGGTATGTATAAAAACTTTTAAATTTAGATGATTTTGTGGGTTTCTCTTTATTCTGGGATGATTTTCAACCACTATCCAAAAAGTATTCTTGGGTTAGAAATAGCAAACTATCCCCTTTACTAAAAGATAGAATGGAAGAAAATTGTGATGAACTACCTATAGATTTCCACAAGAGGCAGTGGATGTTTTATTTAAAGGTAACAATGATGAGAAGAAACAAGACACACACAGCAAAGACCCCACCCACACTCTTGTCCGATCCTATCAAAGATCACATGGCTATCAATTTTCCAGCTTTATAGCTCAGCCACTGTTTCCTTCCAAACCCATACTCTGTTTCATTTGATCTTTTACCATGGTTCCACTGGATTCCCTGCCTGTTGAAGTTTCTAGCGGAATTATTTGCATTAGTGTTCCAACCAATGAGTCTACATGTTACATTTCTTTCAATGTTCTCTCCATGCTCTCTTTTACATCATGAAACCATCTTAATACTATAGCCAAAGAAATTTCTTGAATTTATTTATTACAGAAAAGCATTACATTCCTTTGTGTCATATGGTCAAGGGGCTCTTATGTTTTGTCATTCTTCAGGAGTTATGTACACAGGTTCATTGAAGCTTGTCTTCTCTTTTATTGTACCAGAGTATGAGGGTTTTGGAGATGGAGTTTCAGCCATGACCAATGTATCATACTAGTTCATTTCTCTGTTTTAGTACTCTCTCAGAAAAATTGAATATTACAATGCCTGTCTTAGATTCCTGTGAGAATAAATTAATTATGCATGAAAACACCAATTGCCCCAGCAAGCTGGCCATTGTGTGTATAATACATGGCCTGTAGCACCGTGTGTGTCCCCCTTACATGCTTTCCAGTGTGACACCATCATGTGGGATTCACGCTGAAGTCACTTGAAAGTGAGATTGTTTAATTAGACCCCGAAGCCTAATCATTAGAGCTAGTCCCTTAGGCTAATCCTCTTGGTTTCTGTTCTCTTTAAAACCCACTGCTGCCATTCATTTTCAGACCTTTTCTCAGTGGTTCTTCTAGCTTCTGATCCCACAGCCACTCAGCAAGTCTTCTCTCAGGCTTTATTTTACACCTGGAATATCATCTCCAAGCCCCTGCTACAAAAGATCCTTTCACTTTTTACTATCAACCAGGCCTTTTAAAGTCAACTTCATCTCAATAGAAAAATATTGAGAAGGTCTCCTGCCTGCCCTTGTCTCAGTCCCCAGCGTGGCTCACAGCCGTCACCACTCAGGAACTCAGGATGTGTCAGAACTTTGGACTTTTATATACATCTTACCTAATGTTTGGAAAAGCACCACGGGGTAAGGATTATCGGCTTCCTATTAAAATTAAGGGATAGGAGTCCTGTAAGGCAATTCACTCAGGGTCTGCAGGCAGTACAGGGCCCGCCCAGGTCTGAGCCAGCTCCATTTACACACAGGCCTTCTTACCAACCAGTGGACCTCTTTGTCTGGCCCAGTACTTCATGGGCAGATTCATCTTTCCATGTTATTTTAGTTTTATTTTATTTTTTTAACTCATAGTACAATTTCTGTGAGAAATTCCAGAAGGGAGAGTTTCTCAGCAGTGGGTGTCACATCTACTTAGCTTGAGTTTCTCAGTGTTTGTCATAGTTTCCTCATGGTGGCTGGTCAGGTACTATTAGATTTGCATCCCAACAGGGACTCCACATGTACAAATAAAAACAGACCTGATGGCCCCAAAGAGAAGGGAGTGTCTGAAGTCACAGCAACTTCTCCAGTTTTCATTGAAGGAGTGGACTGACCTATATCTGTATGAAACAGAAATTGAGAAAGGGACCAAGAATGAGGTGACTAAGTGGACCATGAAATATATCACAAAAGACAGTTTTACCCCATAGCCCTCCTACTGGCAGCTCCAGAATTTCTGCATAGCAAGGGCTTACAGATAAAATAAGGAAGACTTGATTTCTTCACTGGACAATGGAAATGCGTTCCTCTTCATTGGACAATGGAAATGCGTGCCTCAAAATGGAGTAGGAGGGCTTCCTCAGACCTAACCCAAAGACAGCGTCACCCGCATGCCTCAGTTTGAAGCACAGATTCGTAGAGAATCCTCAGACAACTGAGCACATCTTCTTTGATGCCTCTGGTCCGGGTACGCAAGTGCAGAGTACCAAATTGGTCTCCTCCAGGCAGCTGCCAGCTAGACGTTTGTTCCCAAATTGTGGAGTCAGGAGTCATTGCTCCAAAACTCCCGGAAATGTTTTATCTTCTCTTATAAATCCTTTCTAAAAATTCATCTTCTTCCTTGACTTGGAATATTTCTACATTTTTTACATATTAATAGTTACTTCTGGAAGTTCATGTATGTTTCTTCTAACACTCTATTATATCTTCCCCTTTAGAGAATGATATTCTTTGCTAGTTTATCACCTGTGGATAGTTTTTGGGTAATTAAATGTAGGTACTAAAATTACCAATGTTAAGATTGACATATAATGTAATAAATTTAAATGAGGCCTACCTCCTCATATATATATATACATATATATAGTAAATTAACTAAAGAGAATGCAAAAAATACTGCTGCTGAATTATTCTTACCCAGGTATAGGGATTTTTCGATAATATAAAAATAAGTGCTTTCAGATACTAACCCAATGATAAGGTTTTGAGCTTCAGCAAACATTAAGATTAAAATTATGGAAAGAAATATTGTCTTAAATAAATTAAAAATATGTAAATATTATAAAAGGGAATAAGTAAGGAAGAAAAATAATCTATGTGTCTTAGTAAATGCTGGATATAAGCTTCAGCTTACTCCTGGAGTACTCCTGGTGACTGGTCAGGTACTATTAGATTCCACTCCTACAGAGTGGAATGTGGGCTACTACAATCAGGAGAAGTCATGTCTGTCTATGAAAGTGTTATAAAATCAGGTAATTAGAATAAGTAGCAAAAATAATCAGCAAGTGTTAAAGGTCAGAAGCACTGGGTACACATTTAACAAAAACTTGAGATCAGCATAAGGCTTAGCTACTTGGGAATAAAACTGGAAAAGGCATTTGAGGTGTTCTCCATTTTTATAAGTTCCGATTCTCACTTCCCCCTTCTATGGTTTCTCCCTCAATTCCTCCTGTTTTATATATTTCACTTCAGTGTAATTCATTTACATTTCAGTATAACTCATTTACATTTAGAACACACATCTATAACCCTCTGTGGACACCAAATAGGCTTTTTATGACAGGAAAACTTCTTTTATTTTGAATATCCCTAGCACTAATACAGATCTCTGAAAAAGAAAGCTGTCCAGCGGAATAGTGGCAGTCGTGAGTGTCTTGTCTTCCTATAAAGAATGAAATGAGTTTCTAGATTGCATCTGCAAGTGAACAAAATGATCTAGCAAAATGTCAAAGTAGAATGAGAGACAGCCCTTCATTGATAAAGGACCAACAAAATATTTTTGACATTGCAGTAATAAGCACACTTTTTTCCAACTAAAAGAAAAAAATACAAAGGTGAAAACAATTGCCCAAATCAGAGAGTCTGTCAGTATTAAAATGATAAAAGTTCAAGTGAGGCTATCTAGGAGTTTGGCGATGACTACAAACACATCTCCTAGTCCAGGTTGTCAGCACAACATTAGGACAACCTGAGTTGGATTTCCGTGGGATTCCATTGGAAGGTGTGGTCATCTATGGACAGTGCCCTACTGTTCTGTGTGAATACCTAGAAGGCCATTTGTGACATGACCCCCACTTGCCTCCCTTCCTCAATTGCTCTTCTCTCTGGGGCTGCAGCTATGCTATACATCAAAGACCTCACACTTTTCTCATGTGTAAACCTCTGTACCTGCTTGTGCTTCCCTTCACATGGAACATTTCCCTCCTGTCTTTCCTCACTATGTTCTTTTCAGTTCTCAGTTGGGAATTTCTGACATTGAAGGCAACGCATTGCTCAGAAAAATAAAATCATTTAGACAATTTCCAAACCCTGTGCATGTTTTATGTAAGTCCCTTCTACACATGGGACCACTGAGAGCTCTTCCTTGGCCTTCCTAATTGGAGTCAGACTAAAAGTTTCATTAATTGCCACCATTTGGGCTGATAAGGAAAAGGCCCAATAAAATCTTATGATTAACTCTTTAGAAAACAAATACGTGTTTCTTAGTTCTTGATGGCTACTGGACATTTTCTATGCTTACTTGTTCAAGAATTTACAAATGTTTTTGGCTCTTTTGCATAGCCAACATCAGCTATATACTAGGAGTACAATGAAAATAATTCATGGTCTCTACTTTGAAGAAAATTCCAACTCTATAGAGAAGGCAAGTACTTCACTGAAGTCTAACGAAGTATTTTAGGATGTGGGAATAAAGAAGGGCACAAGCAAAATAGTGGTCAATTCTACTTGATGGAGGAGTTGGTGGAAATACCTCACAGCAGATTTCGTTGAATTTTTCTTAAAAATATGTGTGGGATCTCACCAGGCTGACTCTGTGGACCGGTAGGGGTAAAATCAGCAGTGTCACTGATGTTCTAGAATTTGAGACATCATTGCAAGCTGGGGGAACTTGTGTGTTCTTGTGGCTGAAGCAGGACATGAGGAAAAGGAACAGAGAAGAGGATGAGCAGCAGAAGGAAAGGCTAAAGCGACACTGCAAGACCACGTGTCATGGGCCAATCTATAGAATGTGGACTTTATCCTGAGGCAGCAGAAATCCAATAAAGGGTTTGGACCAAATGTTCAGTTGGGGAAGTCACTGTCAATAGTATGGAGGATTATGTGGGTAGAGAGCATACCCAGAGATCCCGTGTGGCTGGGAGTAACCCAGATAAGCAGGCCTCACAGAGGGTCCTTATCACCCTATGACATTGCCCTGGATGAAGAAGACCTTCAGCCTTAGGGCATGGTGGGACAGCAAATTATAGTAATTCATAAAAAGGACATGGCAAAGACCAAAAAGAGGATTTAACATCTCTTAAAACTAAGAGTTTAATGCTTGTCATTTGCAGTAAAGTCAGAGAAGATGAAAAGAATATAAGTACATAAGCAAGTGATATGTTACTTTTTGTTCTCCAAATAAAATCTTTCAGGGAAGAGAGAGCTCATTAAAATAGGCTTGGAACTTTATCAAAACAATTTTAACCCTCTAGCAAATAGTTAAATTTCTTTCACCAACAGCTATCTCTCATGGGAAAAGCTATCTCTCATGTGGAATTTGTGTTCAGAAATAGAAGGTAAGTCTTAAAGATATAAAATGCCCACACCCAAGTTTACAGAGTAAGATTCATATTTTGTCTTATACTAGGTTACAGTGCCTCAACACAGGAAAGAAAGAAATATAGGAATGTCTAAAAACAATGTGATACATATATTATCTTTGCAATAATCTAATAGTAGTAGCTGGCCTATAAAATTACCTTCCTCATAGATTTTCCTCCATTTTCTGAAAGTAAAAGTAGATAATCTAAGAATTTCAGTGGAACTTCCTACTGGCTTGCTTCATGGTGAAAAGATGGTGCACATACTTTCTCTTGAAAGTTCATAGTTTACAAAACAGTATCAGTTCGAAAGAACAACAGTTCCAATTACACACATACAGTTTTCTTTTCTTTTTCAATATTTAATTACATTTTAAAGAACTTGTTATATTCCTAAGATTCACTTGGGGCCATTTAAAGAGTTTTATCAATAGCTTCAAATTAAGTAAACCAGTGTTTGGCTGGGAAAAAAGCCTCTTTTACCTGACAGGAGAAAGAAAAGAAACATCCTGTTATATATCCTCAGATGTTAAAACTTTACCGGGAGGGTCACGCTGGCCGTGCATTTACATAATGACTCTCCTAAGTGTCATTCAAACAGGTGTCATTTTGACCAGTCAATTCTTATATTGAATAAATATCATAAAATTGTCATTTTTATCTTTCTTGTTATCTCATCTTATAAAAATTAATAAAAACATAGAATTTTTGGTCATCCTATATTTAAATAATTGGACTGGCAAGTACTTAAACTACTTTCAAAATTTAATAAAATGTCAATATAGTCCTCTAACAACACAAAGAATATTTAATACTACATTTGGTTACTCCCATCTTCGTGTCTACCTGTCTCCGAATTTCCTATGGACCTTATTAGTTAATATGGATCTACGGGCATATTCAGGTCTAAAACACTGCAAAATATCTATGAATATGTGGGTTTTGAACAGGGTAGTTTACTGTTACACCTTTAGATCAGTGAATTTAATAGAAAACATTGAAGACAATTTCTAACCCTTAAACATAATTTGTCTAAAACTTATCAGAAGAGTGTCTGTTCTGATTTTTGTACTTCTTTGTGCTCTGAGCTCTTAGGTTTCCAGAGTTCATTCAGTTTTCAAACATCTCTTTGCATTGTTCTGAGATAAAAGTTGGGTTTAAATACTGTCCTGCTAAATTCTAGCTTAAATTAGGAAAGTAGTTTAAGTTAGAAGGCAACTCAATCTTCTGCCTTTATAGATAATATGTGTCCAGTATTGAGCTTCCCAGAAATGAATGGGTCATATGCCAACACTGCATACTTTTTTTAGCTGCACTGAGCTCTGAAAAACTTAGTCTCAAGTCCAGACCCCATGCATGTTTAAAATTACTGGCTGGCCCGTGAGGCATGGGTAGAGTTTTACGAGAGATGTGAAGGAGAAGTTAAGGTATAGAACTAGGTTAAAAGAAAGAAAAAGGAAAGTATAATATGCATGGATGTGAATACTGGGGAGCAACTATCAGGCAAAGGCTTGCAGACCACTGAAATTTGTAAGAAGTTA